TGTAAGTGCATGAAATGCTGACATGAACCCATAACTTTCTTCCAGTTTATCCCTGCACGGGCGGCCAGGGAGCTCTCAGATCGTCTGTAAACCCTCAGCTGGGTTTTTTGTAGTGGAAAGAATGATGGACTAGGAGTTGAGAGAGAAATTTTCTCTACATACCTTAAAAAGTTATTGTGAAGATCAAGTAACGTGTATGGAAGTACTGTGCAAAGTACTCTATTGCAGGAAGATGGTATCTGTAATAATTCTCAACCTTTTGCTTGTTTTTCTCCTTTGCTGGTTTACACATATTTTATACTGGGTTAACTTACTTTAAATGGCATGACAGAGTCTGTAAACTAATTCTGTGCAATTAAGTATTTTAAAGGAGTGGCTTATATAAGCTCTGTTTGTCTCCAAACAGGGAGAGGTTGGCGGTTGAGTCATTGACTCTACCTGGAAAAGTCCACGTGGTGACAGTAATAGTCCGTGGTGTCCTGCCTGCAGAGAAGTGGGGGCTGGAGATGGCATCTTTCCACTTTGTGCAAATTCCTCGCCCTTTCCCCGTTCCCAGCTCCCTCCTTCCCCTTAGTGCCCGCCCTGCCGTGTTACTCACCATGCTGTGTCCCTTCCTCCTCAGGAGCCACACGGCGGCTTCTGGCTGCCCACCGGGGATGGGGTCGAACCCTGGAGCGGCCACCTCACTCCGAGAGCTGCTTGCCGAGGGGAGAGGGCTGGTTTCCTGCAGCGCAGTGCTGCTTCTGAACTTCACTCTTGCGCTCTGCAGGAGCCGAGCATCTAGGTTTCTGCCTTGCAGAGCACTAAAAGTAGGGCACGTTTTTATGTCTCAGCAAAGAAATATATGAATTCTACATATTTTTTTATGTTTCATAGAATTCAATTCGCCACAATCTCTCTCTGAATCGTTATTTCATCAAAGTACCACGTTCCCAGGAAGAACCAGGCAAAGGCTCATTCTGGAGGATAGACCCTGCTTCTGAAAGCAAATTAATAGAGCAGGCTTTTAGGAAAAGACGGCCTAGGGGCGTGCCTTGCTTTAGAACCCCTCTGGGACCGCTCTCTTCTAGGTAAGGAAAAAAGAGGAACAGAAAGAGCTCACTTAATGGTCAGTAAACTCGCCTTCAATGTATTGGTAAATTTTCCTTTTGAGAATGAAGCAACTGCCAAATGCTTTATGATTAAATGCTGGGATGGGGATTTGGGGGAAAAATGGTAGGATGCTACCGTGCATTTTTGTGTCTAGTGGTGCAAAACATTTTAGACTGAAGCGTTACCTGAATTCCAACTCCATGTGGTGGTCGGTGCCTCGTTAAACTCATGGCAAAGTGCTCTCTGATTGACGCCTCTTGCTTGAGTCGGCAACGTAATGGTGCCACCACGGTGATTTCTCCTTTTCCTTTGGCATGTGAAGAGTTCTTCAAAGCCAGCTACCTTTTAGCTGCTTAAACTCAATTGAATTACACAATGTTAATTTGCCTGATTTTTAAGTTACACAGGTTTAGCTTCATTAATATTCTGTTTTTCACTAAAAAAAGAAGTGAATATAACTGAAGTCTCAGGCCACCACGCCTCGCCCACTGCCGGCTCCCNCTCAGCCAGTGAGCGGGAACCAGTCTGTATGTGGGATCCGAACCCTCAGCTGGAGCGCCGCTGCGCTCTCAAGCGGCGCACTGTAGCAGTGCGCCACCGGGCCGGCCCTTGAATCTACCTTCTGCTCCAAACTTAGAAAGGCTGAGCACGTAGGCAAAGGTTTCCTTCTCTGTCTTTGGCAGGAGCCCCAGTCACCGTCATATTTGATTTTCTAGAGGAACTGATGAAAAGGTTGGTCATCAGCCACCCCCAGTGTTAAGTGCCATAGCAAGCATCTGTAGTTATCAGACTATTTTAAACCCCATCTAACTAATTCACAAACAGCTTCACTCATCACAGCCACAGCTTAGCCCACCTCTTCACATTGCCCGTGGAGTAACACACATCCGCAGGGTCAGAGGTGCTTCCTGTGGCCTGTGACTAATGTAGGACTCGAACAGTCCCCGAGGTTGGTCATCGAGTATTATTTGACATGTGTTTGATTTCTTAGCTGCCTTTGACAATTCAGAATTTCAGGCCATGGTTAGTTCCATTAGGTTAATTGGGGAATTTAGGAGTGATTTTTGGATAGCTCCAAATTTTATTTGGAGTTATTACTATTTTGAGACTTTAATAGTTAACTTAATTTTAAATTCACACATTAATGTAAGTGCATGAAATGCTGACATGAACCCATAACTTTCTTCCAGTTTATCCCTGCACGGG